ATGTATGTATGTATATATATATATAATGGAAATTGCATACACCAGTCCACCAGTTACCAGTATAGTGTAACTAAAATGTGTTTTCCTTTTAAATCTAGTGTTGAAACTATAACCAGCTACAATTGGGTTTTCTCCACATGATGTCATTAGAAATCTCCATCCTGACCTGATGTGCCCCTACTATTTTGGCCTTCTTCCTGTTTTAATTAAGACTGTTAATCACGCCACACTGAATGGCTGGTTTATTATGCTAACAAGCTTGTTGCAGAAACCAGAACTGTGCTATCAAATATATGACTTGAGCTAGTGTTAAAATCTACCTTTACAAGTGTTGAGCATCAGGACTGACAGTGAAGTCCACTCTTTTTATTACTGTGTTCCTATTAAATATGGCAAATATTTGGTTTAAGTATTTATAACAACATTGCTAGTCTGAAATACCTGAAATCAGGGGGTTCTTTTGCTTTGTTGAAGTTGACAGATAGGCAACATAATATAGCTCTCAGTCCTTATATATCTTGGCATTTTTACGTGCTCAAAAGGAGATATAAAATAAATCAGAGGCTTAATCACATAATCGGATAACAGACCCATCTCTGTCTTTGGGAGAAATTATCTCCCTTCTGTCCTATTGAATATTTGTAATACATATTACAAAAATAAAACCCCTTCCAGGTTGTGTGTATGTGAGCACATACGTATGTGCATGTTTAATAATGTAAATATTCTAACAATGCCTTTGATTTTAACATTGGCAAGAGAAATAATCTAATCCAGGATTCTGTTTCCTTGGCTAGGTGACTCCCTCAGTTTGTGTTTATTCATCTTTTGGTTTAGGCAATAAAATGAGAGTTATATTCACTTCACCTGATTCTTATGACAGCAGTAATAGTAGTTGAGGTAGTAGTTGATTTTAGCTTTTCTCCTTTCCCCCAGTGTTTGGAACAAGTTGCTCAGAGCTGTTCTATTGAAATATAGTCATCCTATTCATTCAGAAAACAGTTGGAGGAGTTTATAAACGTGTCTCTTCAGGGCAGAAAATTACTTGGATTTTTTTTTTCCCCAGTTAAGTACCATCATGTTGGTAAGCTGCTGAAGGAGGGGGAGGAACCCACCGTGTACTCTGATGAAGACGAAAAAGATGCCCAGGATGCAAAGAAAGAGTAGATACTGCAGTGTGGAACAATCTATTTTTGAACCACAATGGATCATTTGTAACATTCCACTTCTGTTTCACAAGGTGCAGCAGCAGCAAGGTTTACAAAAGGTCCAGAGGTACAGTGAATGGTTTTTCAAAGATTTCCTTTTCAAATTCAGTGGGAAGCTTCTGAAGGTCTATGATCTGTCTTCCTTTAAACCCACATAATAAGTATGCATGACAAATGTCTGTGCAAAAGTAAACTGCAATTTTGGCAATAAAGGACTGTTTTCCTGCTATCACCATTTAGTGCAAAGTAGGTTGGAATCAAGTTTTTCATTACCAACCTATCACTGTGGAGACAAGCACATGACTCACTTCACATATGCAACACAAACACCACTAAATCTTCTTTTGTGTTAGCTTCTGCAGGATCTGGCAGATCTTACCTGGGTTGTAATTCCTTTAGAAAAGGGACTATATTTTGTTCACAAAGCATCATACTCATTTGTTGTGCAGTGTAATTCATTATTATGTGAGATAATTTGGCTTTTGAGTCATTGCATTAGTGACTTACAGATGAAACACTAACTGCTTTTAAAAAAGATTAAGAATTTTTGTGAGGTTAAATCACTTTTAAGTATTTAATAAAGACTGATGAATGCTTGATGTATTCAACATGCATAATTCTGCATAGACTAATATTGTGTGTTCACTTTTAAAGCACATCTATAGTGTTACAAAAGTTTAGGTAATGAGTGGAACTAGGCATCCCTAAAGGTACACCATGGAGTGTGACTTGACTATTGTTCATTTGATTTTCTTCTCAGCAAAAAGTGCTCCTATGAATGTTAATGGAATTATATTAAACACGGAAGATCAGCTGCTCTTGATTCCTAGGCCTAAAAAACAAGAAGTTGCTGGTATGGCATGATTAGCAAGTGCTCTTGTACATGCACCTTTACCTAGCAGAAAAACATTACTGGTCAATGTAACTTACATAAGTTTCCTGTACAAAATAAAACAGTGTAAGCTGTTTTTGCATTGAGGCCTTTGTTGGTTTGGAATGTTGCCATTCAAAGAAATGACACAATCTCATGCATAACCAGCAGTGCTATACCTGTGGACCTGACCTTTGAGTTGCTTTTTACTTATTTGCTCTCTTGGCTTACCTCTATGCTTAATTACTAGTTTTTTTTCTAAATGACCTCCCTCCTTCCAGAGAGGCTGGATAAATGGATATGACTAAGGAAAAATGTAAATGTTCATCATGCAAAATACTTCCATAAAACTTATAAATTCCAAGATAACTAATGATTTTCTGATCACATGTGATCTTGTTTCTTGTCCAGGTGATTCTGCTAGTGCAGAATCTCCAGGGTGCCTGTCTGGTGTAGTTCCCTCTGTTTCATTTCTCTGACTCGACTGTCTGGTTGTTTCAGTTTGGCAACATGCCCAAAATGAGGAACTGAGTCCTGGGTGTAGGTGCAAACTAGGCAGAAGTGTTCAGAAGGAGAGTGTGTTGCACAACAGCAGCTTTCACAAACGAGTTGACACAACATATTAAAGTGCCTGAGACCATCTGTGGTGAGAACAACTGACTCTCCCTCAGTCCCAACACCATCCTGGGATTTTCTTTTGGTTGCACTGGGCCTTCCAATGAAGAGCAAGGTTGTTTGAGCCAGAGTTGTGTAAAGTGGTACTGTATGAACTACCTGACAAAGGTCTGGAGACACACATAGGCCTTGTCATGACCTTTGTGTTGCTGTTTTATTTTTAGAGACATTTATACTCTTTGCAAACTACTACTAATGGTTTACCTCAAATTGGAAATGTGCTTTTATTTGTTTAAGGCAGAAAATAAAATACTCTTGCATAATGGTGGAGTTTGTTTTTATTTACTGCAACCAAATGTTATATTTTATTATTATATTTATTACTCCCCTAATGTTTCAAGTTTTATATTGTCTTTCTCTGATCTGTCGCATTATCCAATGCATAGATTGAGTAAAATATGTTCTAATGGAATGCTTGTAAATGCTGTTTGCTAGTAAAATTTTGACAGAATATTAAATAGAGAATGTGCTCTATTGCAGAAAAAAACCCAAGTAATTGTTAATACTGAGCAAAAGCTGGAGCTTTGGAAAGCTGTAACCTACCCTTAAGTGGACCCAACCACCTGACTCTAAAGTTACTCTGTAACATCTTCTGAGGAACTAAAAACTATTTTAAGGATTAATCTGTACATCAGAACGTTATGCATCACAAAGAGAAATAGCAACAGAAATGATGCAGAAAACATGCAGTAACACAAGAAAAGCTCATTGTTAATACTTCTTGGGGAGGAGGTATGACACTTTGGTAAGATTGTTACTTTTTCAAGGAAAGCAGAGAATTTCTTGTGAAAGGAGAAGTGTGTCACAAAAGCTGCTCATAAAGCAGCAGGCACGGGTTTTACTTCTTTCCAAAGTGCTGAAGAAAATGGATGGGTTTTAACTTCTTTTTTAGTCTGTTCATTACAATTTGAACCCTTCCTTCAACAGTGACTGGCAGCAATGATTATGCAAAAAGAGCCATGCAGGCAGCTCATCGGGCTGTACATTAACCAGGCAGGACAGGATGACCAATTCAAGGCAGACAATATCACTAATCTCCCTCCTCTGACGTGTCCAACACCTGTCACAAAGATCTTTGCCAGGACAAATCAAAACAATTGAGTCATATCTTATTTTCAATCACACTCTTAACTGCTTTGTAAAATTCAGATATTCTTTCACCAGGGCTTCACCTGCCTGTACTCACCTTTATTAGCTCTTACTTCCTGCTGTTTCACTTAAGCAAAAAGAAGTTCAGCATTGAATGCTTCTGTTGAAAATTACATAAGGGGTTTTATGAAAGGTGAGGCATTTCTATGCATTGCCTGGAATCCCTGGATTAAGAAGAAAAGGCTTTATATCATAATTGCTGTATTGTATTTCAAGCAGATGGACTGATTTAATAATGGGCCTTGTGTAATTCTGCTTTCAAACCAGCCTGTAGGATTTTGGCTTCAGCATTCAGCACAAGGTACAACCCACAGGTCACATACTTTCAGTAACAAAGCATTGTTCAGCCCACTTCTCTTCATACCAGCTTTATGAAGAGGCATTTTCACTAGTTCTGTACAGAAAATTAGATTTGATGGCAAGATCTGCAGTCTCAGGGCCAACTTCATACATGTCAGAGTAAACAGTGTTTCCATAAAAAGCACCCAGCCTCTTGAAACAGCAGCTGGGCACAACAGCACACCTCAGGTTCAGAATGAAAGGTGTGAAAGTATACCAGAAATGTTCTATATTTCCATTGCTGAACTATATAAATGCTGCTTTTAATGCATATTTTCATCTAATAAATGTTTTAATTGCCAAAACATTCTGTAACTTTCATATGTGGGATGTGACATTTAGAACAACTAAAATCCAATCTACAAAGCCATGCATTTTAAAAGTTTTAAAGCAAGCTGTTACACGTATCTTTAAAGATTAACCTTCAGGATAATAAAATCATATTAAGCAGGCCAGTGTATGAAAAACTGGGGCTCATATTAAATGTGCTGACAGGAAAAAGAAATTCTTCCTGCCAGAGGAAACTGTGCCCCAGCCCTGGAAGTGCTCAAGACCAGGCTGGACCCTGCTTGGAGCAGGTGGAAGGAAGGTGCCCGTGCCCTTGGCAAGATGGTTTTTAAGGTCCTGATCCAAACCATTCTATGATTTTGTGAAAAGTGAAATTATTATTTAAACACTTGAAATCAGGTTCTAAAAAAATGTCAAATAGGAAACACAGAAGTTCTCTTTGGGTATGAAGATTACAATGATGTCTCACATTTTAAAGTGCATGCATATTTTATTAACTAACAATGCTTTACATGGAATGAGGACTTGGGAGACAAAGCAAATCCTCTGCCAGTTTCAGTCAGTACAGGTGAATGCCTGAAGCAATTACAGGAATTGAGTATTTATTTGTTATTGGTTATTGTGACAGCATGTTAATAAAACACTAGAAATTTACACTGAAGGAAATCTTTAATTCCTTCTCCTCTAGATTAACAAAAAGAAATACTTCCTCACCTGTCACCAAAAGCCTGTCTTATAGGAAATGGGTACTCATGGACACAAAACTGTCTATAGATTGACAGGGGGGAAGTTTTGTTATCTTTAATCTGCAAATATTGCATAGAGAAAAAACACCCTTGGTATGTCACATCAGTGCAACTGAAAACATTTTACATGGTCACATGTAACATGTTACAATAGTCCCTCTTCACTATAACTGTATAAAATACTAAAGGAGGGGACTTAAGAGGGGCATAAAGGCTCTCCAAAATAGTCAGAAAATATTTCTGTCAAGAAAATAACATTCTTTTAGATAAAAGGAATAGATTAACAGTACTTTGAGTAGCAACCATTTGTCATTCATGACCCTGAAAAGGCACTCAACATATGAACGGAAAGACAGATAAAACCTGGCTTAGAAGCCTGTAGGAATCACCAGTATTGAAGACTGGGGGAAAACCTATCTACCACAAACAATTACAATTATTCATTTTTATTACTATTTATTAGAGCAGAATTTACAAACATGGGTAAGATCTTACGTAATGAAGGCAACATTTTCACATGAACTTCGTCTACTGACATGTAATAAATAAAGCATAATAAAATGAAAGCTGTAATAATCAGTGTATTGAACTTCAAACTCTGTACCTTGCTAAGGGACTTTGTCCAAAAGCAATTGTGGCTGTCTTCTAGATATAGCCAGATGAATAAATATGGATATAATTCAAGATCCTAGACTGCATTTTCCCATTTTTATCTACATGCAGCACAACTCTGACAACATTTCACAATTCCTCTGGAAAGCATTTGTAGGCAAACTCATACTAAACAGCTACCTCACTATATGTGCCTTCAAAATCTTGTGAACTGTCAACTGCATTTACATGGGGACTGTCAGCAGGCTGAGAGGCACTGCCATTTCATTATCTAACACCCAGAGCTTTGCTTACACAGCCATTCAGATTCCTAGGAGCACTACACTGAGCATAAGTTCAGTGAAATCCTCCCAAAAGGCAGCAAGTTTTCAGAAACACCTCTAGAATTGTGAATAGAAAACAAGGATTCCTCTAGTGTGGATTTTACAGAAGATGGGACCTTTTTCACATTTGGAAACCTATTACTTCTCAAAATTGAGTATAAATGTCCCCCACACCTTCCAGTCCCACCAATATAACAATCTGATAGAGGAGGCACTTCATATGCTTGCTCTAGGATTGACAATTAGGTTTTTTCCCAATGACTCATTATTAATAAATACTGTAATTTACATGATTCTCTGCATTCCATCAAAGTGCAATGCTCCAAGATCTCAGTCTGTGTCCTTTCAAGTTCTTTAGCCACTAGTCCATGAAAGTTTGTTCTGGCTCTGGGGAAAGTTTTGGTCCAGAAGTTATCCAAAAGAAAACACAAATTCTGCTTCTGTGACTCACTTCACCAGTTAGATATTCTAACCAAAGGAATGATGTAAGAAAAAAAAAATCAAAAACCAACCCAGCAGTTCATATTTCTTTTAATGATCAAAGGGCTTTCTTCTCCCACTTGTTTATAAAAACTTCAGAGCTATAATACAGTAGCTGTTCAACATCCTCTTCTGAGCTCTCCTCCACAGAAAGTATCTGAGAAGGGGTTTGTCTGAATTATCTCAAGAGGAAATAGAGGGCATCCTCTGACATCTGCATCCATCTCTCTTCTCAACATTAATTTCCTCTCATCTCCTGTAGGTAAGAAAAAGTTGAAATGAGTTTGTCAGGTTGTAAGGGTATCCACCAACCAACTGGAAGCACAGAAAATTGTAAAAAAGGCTGTAAGAACAGCGAGTAGCAATCCTGTATGAAAATCAGATGTATTTTAGCTGTGTAAAAATGTACTCACCTGAGACAGTACTTCCTACACAGCTGTGCCACACATTGAATTGTCTATCACTGTTTTAGTTGTCTAAAGCATGTTGTTACCAGAATAACCACTACCTGCTAATGCCCAGGACAGATACTGTGCTAAGTTAATTAGACAAATATTACTCTTGAGCTGCAGCTGTGTCTTTCAGAGCTAAACTGAACAAACCCTTAATTGCAGGGAAGTTGCACTGGTTTTTTTATGCCATGCTTATACCTTTTAAAACCAAAAACCCTTCATCACTGTAAGAACTGTGGCAACCTCACCTGCCACAGAGCTGTCAAATTGAGTCCCCTTAGCTGTGGTGTCCCCCTCTCTCACCTCTCCCCTGGAGGGTTTCCTGAAGGGGTGAGCCATCATGAGGGGCAACATCTTGTGCAGCCATAGAGGTGTGATGTGTCTTGAATTTCACTTTTTTGTGCAACATTTTCTTACATTTTCTCTGAATCTTTCTGAGCGACTCCAGCTGCATGCAACTGTCCGTCTCTGAAAAGCCACATTCATCAGATAAAAGATTAGAAGAAAGCTTTTTTCGCTTTTTCTTCATTTTATGAGCATTTTTCTCCTTTTCCCTGGATTGTCTCTCACTTTTCTTTCCTTCATATCTTAATTTACTACTAGACCTCTTGCATGACTTTTTAAGTTTACGTTCACACTGCCTTGCCAAGCCCTCATGGACAGAATTAGAACAGGAGTTACATTGGCTGGTTTCCTTCTCTTGACCTTCCAGAGCTACATTTTTATGGCAAACCAGTAATTCTCTTTCCCCAGCTCTTGTAGACAAGCACCCTTTATTACAACTGCTGTAAATTTCTTCATACCTTCTTTCTGCTCTCTTCACTGAGCCGCCACATGCCTCTCTAAAGCACTCAGAATCACTGATCTCTTCCAGCAAATCCTTTGATCTGCAAGCAGATCTACGTGTTCCATGTGGTACAGTGCCTTCATCTTTACCATCTTCTTGTTTGAATTCCTCATTATGAGTAACAGTAGTGCACTCCAAAGAATGATTCAGTCCAGCATGTGGTACAGTATCAACACTGAGTGAGTCATTCCTCTGCACCTGCAGCTTTTTTGCAAGTTTGCCCCCATGGACCTTGCTTTCTAACACTTTGTCTGTTGACTCAAATTCTCCAAGAGTGATCACCAGCCTGTAATTACTATCACTGCTACAATTTCTCTTGTGGAGGTTTTGTACAGGACTCAGCTCTCTGAAGTGCTGACCATGTTTGTTACTCAAGCTGCTGTCAAACCCACCACCATCATCAGACACCACTCGCTTCCACCGGGACTTGTTCACAGTGGTTTTTGGCTCTAAGCAAACACGTGCATAGTGTGGTGTCTGATAGTAGTTCAGTAAATAATGGATGAATTCATCAGTCTCATAAACCTTTTGCTTTCTGCAATCATCTTGCTCAGACACTGTGTGGGAGTGACCAATGTCCAGTGCTGGGTGGTGCCTTGCAGGGAGAGGCTGGATGACCCTGCCGTGCTGGGTGACCGTGATCAGCAGGGAGTTGCACACATCTCTGCCAGGCAGTCCATCAGAGCTCGGGGCTGCAGAGGCATCATTTAAAATTGTCCTCACTATGTGACAAGCAGGTGCATGGAAGGTACTCACATTCCCTTCCTCACAGCAGAAAGCACTGCCTTTTGGGGTTAATGGGCACTTAAACTCCACACGTTTCAGCTCTTTGTGCGTATGGTAAAGGGAGTTAATCAGCTCCTGCTGGATGTCTTTAAATGCTGTTTCAGAAAATGAATTGTCCTTCTTTAAACCCAGTGAAGGATCCACTTTTTGACTTGCCAACTGTGAAACCAAGAAAATAGAAATTTATTTAAGACATCACATTCATAATTAAGAAGGCCAATGTCAGATGTAATGGGCCCTAAAATTCACACACAGAATGGCAAGGGTAGCCTCTGACTTCAACTCACAGTAAATTACAGTCCTTTAGAAATCTTTTACATTACACACTTGTTAAAAGCTGCAATTTTTTCTTTGCAAATAGTGGAGACAAAGCCATATTAGAAATTAAAACCCCTGTTTTCATTTGAAACCTTTTCTGCCCAAAGCACTAAATTAAACTTGCAAACATTAATCTGTGTGCAAAACACTCAAATTTTTATCATTTCACTGCTGACTTTCTCAAGACATTATCTGAATCAAATAAGTCTGGTAATGAGTGCTGGCCAAGAAAAAAGAAGAAGCTATTAGAAATCCAAAGGGTATAATCTGTGCCAATTTAGTTCAGTCACTTGTAGACCTGAGACCAAAACAAGCACAGAGAGTATCACTTATGTCTCCACTCCAAAATTCCTTGCTTGCAACACTGGATCAAGTCTAATAGAGCCAAAACAGCTTTTCCAGCCCTATTTTTTACTCAAGAAAGACATGGTCTTGAAAAAGCACCAAAGGCAAAGTTTCTGGGTGAAAATGCACTATGTTTGCTCTCAGGGCAAGACTGAGAACTGTCACAAGATATGGACCTCAGGCCTTCTCAGTGTCCAGTCAGCCCCAAAGCAGTCTCCTGAACAGCATCAAGATATCAAATGTCTAGTGAATTATTCAAGCTCTAATAGATATCCTTAAAAGTTTAAAATACGTTTTAAAATAGTCTTACTTTCACACGATTTAACAGCACTGTAAGCAGTCTGACAGACTCCACTCTTCTCTGAGCTAGCAGGGATTTCCTTTCTTCCCATTCAGGCATATTCTCTGGCCAGTGCTGTTCTTCAGCTGGTTCCTTCTGCTGCTTTGGGGGGTGTTCCTCATCTCCATCTATCTGCCTCTCTTCTCTCCTCTCGTGCTTAGCTTTCCTTTTTCTCTCTTGAACTTCTTTTCATCACCACGTCTTTTTCTAGGTAATTATCAATATGGGACAATTTAGATGACACTTGTTTTACATTGTGCATCCTGGGGAATTGGATGTAAGTTTTTGAAGTGCTAATAATAAGCAAACAGTCATCAAGAATCACATGTGGCTAACAGGGAACGTCCTTTGCTTAAATACCATGTTTTAAAAAACCATAAATTACACACACCCAACTGATCCCCATAGTTAGAAAGTTGTCTCTTCAAATGGTCTGTACTCTTGGGTTTTCTTTGTAAGCACTGCCAAGACAACAGCATCACATGATTGTTTGTCCCCAAGGACACAACTAGAGACTAATCATTTGGATCTAATTCTTAATTTAACAAATCTCCCCTACAGATTAGCAGGAGGGTCCCATTTAAGAGGTATTACAGCAGTAATTCAGGGGTTATTACTGAGCAAGGCTTACCCAGAGCCAAGGCCTTTTGTGAGGAGGCTGAGGGTGAGCAAGGAAATGGGAGGAGACCCAGCCAGGACAGCTGATCCCAACTGACCTTTTTCTAGCCAGTAATCACCAGGCAGCTGCTACACCTACTTTATTTAACAATAAGAAACTAAGTATCTTTCAGACTCTCAGCAGCTCCTGAGGTCATCTCCCAGTTTCAGCACCAACTACACTGAAAATATTGACAACCTTTAGCTTACCAGAGAAATTTTTCAGGAAACCTAAACAGTATAACGCTGGGTTTTGATTAAAGGAGTTAAGTTCAGATACCTGAGCTCCATATCAGTATGCCCACATCTAGTACAAACAGAATAGTCACACTAGGTTTTTTTGCTCTTCACATGATTAATTGTACAAAAAGTTTACAGAGAGGCTTCCACTGGTTATCAAGGACTTTTCAGGCCTAAATTCAAGGAAAAAGAAACAGAAGTTGGCAAACCACCATCTGTGCCAGTTTCTTCCACAAAGGCTCAGCACCTAGTTACAAGTAAAGCTTAGTGTATTTCATTGCTGTCCATATGCTGTATTTTTCTTTATTTTGTAGACACTATTTTAACATAAATATAGACTAAATCGAATGGAGAAAAAAAAGATACATATACAAAGACAACTGCAAGAGTGCCACATAAAAGCTTCCACTGAAGAAACACAACAAAAAAGTTTGTAAGATGGTTTTCACAGGTTATAAACTATACTGTTATTACTTGAAAAATGCCTGTTTGCTTTCAGCATGGGAATGTACAAGGGAAGACAAGCACAAAAACTGTTTGATAAAAGAGAGTGACTACACTTTATTGAGAATGACAAAGAAAAAACCCACACATGTACTGGAGAAAAAGCAAGTGCAATTAAAATTAACATAAAATAACCAGGAATCCCTGGCAGCAGCAGATACAGCACAGACTGAGCACTGAATCACTCCTCTTAGGGAACTGCAGCCAAATGCACTCAGAATTAACAGTAAGTTAACTGTAAATTTGTCAGGCAAGGCTGAATCTCTCAGGATTAATCTCTGCACACAGCTGTGTATGCACACAGACACACCTCCAGTGTCTCATATAAGCAAAGCAGTTACACAAAGCACTTTCTACAAAGCTGAAGCAGTGAGTGATCTCTAGAGTCCCTTCTGCCCACTGTGCACTAAGATAAAAAGCTTTCCACCAAGTTAGTGCCAACCAAACTTCTGCCACCCCACTAAGATTTGTGGTGCAGCAGGCTAAAACCTCCAGGACTCTGTTGTTACAACCTGCAGAGATGTGAATGTCAAGCCTGCAGACCACTGGGTGTACACAAAATCTTGTTCTGTTTTGCAAGTAGATCTTCTATTTAACCAATATATTATCCTGCCCTTGCAAGCCTTCTTTCACTTATATCCTTACACCATCATAGCCGCAACCATACTGCAATAAATCACCTAAAAGCCCTAAACTCTCTTCATAGAGCTGAGTAAGCTACAGTGGTTTGCTAGTGCACACCATTACCCCTGCTCTTCCCCACTTGTGCTCATACCCAGGAGCTCCTCAAGCATCAGAAATTTCTCTCTACATAACTGTGAACAAGGCACAGAATTATGTACTGGCTGACCCAATGAATTGCTGTTCAGCAGAATGGCCTTTTGGAATCAACCCTGACATATCAATAAGCCACTACCTCAACTGCTGCAACTGATAAATCACAAGGATTTTGACTTTCAACTCCTTTATCAGATTATTATTCCCCTTTGGCCACTCTGCCATGGTAAAAACTTTTGGAACACATCTGCCTTTGCACTAGGATTTACTACAACAACTGAAGGTTGAATTGTCCTTATCTTACAACACCCTAAATTGTGCAATCTAAGTTCATACTTTAAAACAAACTTACACTTCTGGGAGAAATTAGCAACCTGGCAATATCTAACCTGAAACACTCACATAGTCCATATGAGCAACATGCAAGTAGTGGGAATAATTGTTCCAAAGGCACCCCTCACATTTGCTCACTGTACTGCTAGCTCAAACAGCTCTTACCATCCCCAGTTTCCCAGCTGGTCACTCATGCCAGGCCCTGGGCCACCACAAAAGAGACCATACCATCAACCAGGTCAGGATAAAGGTATCTTAAAGAGAAAAAAAAAATATCATATTTTTCTAGGTTACTTTTCATGCTCCTACCAACAGTGTAGTCCCTGAGCAATCCCACCAGCAGAGGTGAAAGGAAGCTCAAGGCAGAGGAAATATTTTAATTCTGCAGTGGTATGTAAGGAGCACTATAAGCTAATGCAATATAGCATCCATATGTATTGATCCCCAGCAGTAGAGTTCATCATGCAGAGAAAAAAAGCTGGAGCTGTTTAGCCTGGAGAAAAAGAGGCTCGGGGGGACCTTATGGCTCCGTACAACCACCTGAAAGGAGGCTGGATCCAGGGGGGGATCGGTCACCTCTCTCAAGTAATGTGAGAGGAAATGGCCTCACATTACAACAGAGGAGGTTTAGATTGGATATTAGGAAAAACTTTTCCACTGAAATGGTGATCGGGCACTGGAAGAGGCTGGAAACACCAGCCGTGGAAGCCTACAAATGGTTTGTGGCTATGGCACTTGGGGGTATCCTTTAGCAGTAAACACAGTGAGTGTTACTGGTTAGACTCTGTGATCTTAGAGGCCTTTTCCAACCCTAGTGATGCTATGACAAGCACTTACCAGAAACTCACTTGGAGAAGTCTAAAGAGCTTGAAACTGATTTTTAACAAATGAGTTTATCCAGTCCGCTCTATGCAAAATTAAGTGAAAAGGAGCGATGATCAGAAGTGCCGCTGCTCTCATGAACATTGCAATAAAGGAGCGTTTTGAACCCTCCCAGCACCGCTGAGGCGAGGATAACACAAACCCCCAGCCCAATGCATGGAGCCACTGAAGGCCGCGGTCCCCGAGCTCCGGCAGCG